TGACTCCTTAGTGATTTAGTTAGACAGGGATATAACCAATTGAAGCTTCTATACCCTCTATTTCATTGAGGCTTTTAGTAATACATATGAAATTTACTGCATTTTTTTAATCTTGTGAACTTGCTTTGTAACGGTTGTCCTCTTTGGATTTTTATTTTTGTTTGGTGTATTTATTGGTAATGTAACTTGGAGAATATGAAATAAGTTATAGCATGCTTGCGACTTTAGAGTTTAGACCAGCAACGTTGGTGTTGATTAACAGGTTTAGTTACGTTGTTATTCATCATTGCAATTGATGAATATTAGTCGGATAAGAAATAACGTGCTATGATGTCTATTCTACTAGCTTTTCTCTTTGTATGTCTAAGAGATATGCCAGTGCTTTCAAATTTGCTCGTTAAACATTCATATTTGTGTGTGGATGCAGAATATCATTACACGTATTACTAATTTGTGTGGACTATACTATTCGTATTTGTGTTGGTGGGTGGTAATATGTTCGATAAATACTTCAGGTGTACACAAGTTAGTTTGAACAATATAGTTTTAAAAAAAATGCATATATAATGCACGAGAAGATGAAAGAGGCCGTCTTCGCCAATGGTATTGGGAATATTTTCCTTAAGTAAAATATAAAACATTACACCCTCAAAGTTTGACAAATTGATAAACCACTGAAGGAGATTGATTCGACTTAAAAGCCCAAAAGGAGAGTGCCTGTATTGATAGTGGGCTAGAATCCAAAACCATAGCAATTGTAGTTGTTTTCTTTTTATTTTTTAACAAATGGTGGACTTTTAGATCGGTCTAAAAATTCTTTTTGAGCGAACTGAAAATCTTATGAGAAAACTTTACATCACAATGGTGAGTAGATATATGCATAATCTTGGGAAAAAGCATTGGGACACCGTTAAATGCATCCTTCGTTACTTGAAGGATATTTCTAATATTGGCTTAGTATTTGATGTTGGTAAGCTTGCATCTAACGATGTTGTTGGCCACATCGACTCTGATTATGGTGGTGATATTGATCGTCGTAGATCTCGTTCTGGTTATATATTTACTCTTTGTGGTGATTATATTTCTTGGAGAGTTGTCCTTCGGTCTACTTTACGATTGGAAGCAGAGTACGTTGCCTTTTCAGAGTGTGTGCAGTAGGCTAATTGGTTGTGCGATCTTGTTATTGAGCTTGGTGTTGTACAAGGTGTTATCGTTGTATTTTGTGATAGCCAAAGTGTTATTCACTTGACCAAAAATGATATGTATCTTTCAAAGACTAAGCACATTGATGTCAAGAACCGCTACATCAAAGATGCAATTGCTGCCGGGGAAATTGTGATGAACAAAATTCACAATTCAGAGAATCCTGCTGATACGTTGACTAAAAGTCTCTTCCTACTAGCAAGTTCTAACATTATTTAGACTTGGTTGACATTCTTGGTGCTTGATTGCCCTTCAAGGCTTTTATGGCGATGCTTGATGGATTTTGGTCCAAGGTGGAGACTGTTGGGCTTATGTTCCAAAATCTCGTGTGGGCTTTATGTTTTTTGGAGAGTTTTATTTTAGGTATATATATAGAGAAATTTTCGTAAAGCACTATCTTTTAGTGGTAATTAGCTATCTATAGATATCATTTGCTATATTACGGATTGTAGATACGTTTTATGTTGTTATAAGATGTATTAGATGCATTTAAGCTAATGTATTCATGAATACAATAGCAAAAATAGGCGTGAATAAGGGAAGTTCAGCTACTCAGTTGTTATATTCGAGTGTATTCAACTGTATTCATGGCGTGAAACATGGGATTACAACTGGACAGATTATTGTATTCGACTGTATTCACGGCGTGAAATAGGGGATTACACTGTTTTTAAATGGAAAGTGAATCAATTAATATAATAGACTCCTAATATAACTCAACAAACTCAATTCTAACACACAATTTTTGTATTTTCAGTTATAAAAAAGATTCTCAACCGAAAAATACCCCAAAAATATAGCAATCTTCAGAAAAATTATATAATACATATGATTACATAAATTATATTAATTTAAAAAAAACATATGAATACATTTATGGCATATAACAAGACAGTGAATACAATGAAATACATAGAATACATGGGGATACATTGAAATACAATGAAAAAAAGATAGTGACTACAAAGAAATACAACGAGATACATTGAATTGCAATGAAAAAAAAGACAATGAATACAATGAAATACATGAAAATACAGTGTGATACGTTGAAAATACATTAAAATATATTAACAGAAAATCAAGTTGCTCAGCCCCAAACTCCGTCGTCTTTGTTCAAGAATAAACCCTAATTTCTGGCGAATCCGCCGTCGAGCAAAAACCCTCAACTCTTTCAAATTGCCCAGCGCCAAACTTCGTCGTCTTTGTTCAAGAACAATCCTAATGTTGTCTCATCAAGAGGGCCGCGATTCTGACTCAAAACTCTCAAAATTTGGAGCACACTTGGTCTTGAAGATCTTTGCCCCTGCTGCTTCGTTCCCGGTGGTGCCTCTGCGAAAGATGCCATTTTTTGAATTTGGGGCTTTTTCTGATTTTCTGATAGTAGAAAGCAAGAAGAAGGAGAAAGCTTATAGGTTTTTGGTGGCGTACAAGGAAGAAAAAGAGGAGAAGAAAGCGGCAAAAATCTGAAAGAATAAGAGAGAAAAATAATATAAAGAGTATTTTATGGCTTAAGGATATGAGATAATCATAAATAGATATTTGGCTATTAAAATTAAAAGGTAGCTGTGAAATATAACTTTTCAAAAGGGTATTTATTTAAAATAAATAAGGTATTAACCTTTGCTATAGAAGGTAAAAATTCCATATAGATATAATTTTCATAGGATTCAAAACTTTGTGAGAGAGATTATTGAGAGCCTGTAATTTTCTTCATCCCCGTTGTGCCGTTGTTGCCCCTTGGGGATTTTTTTTTATACTTTTCATATATTGAATTCGTTAGGCTCGTCACTACCTATGATTTTCGCCCGTTTTAGGTTTTCACGTTAAATTTGTGTGCCATCTTTTATTATTTTTATATTGTCCTTCTCTTTTTCTCAATTGAATTTGTTCTTGGATGCTTCCGCTTCACACTTTAATCCCTAACATGTACAAATAAGTTGTATGTATTATATATGTCAGGTGTATATTATTAGTATGTTCAATGTATCACTAGACATATAGTGACACACAACAACATAAAAAATATATACAAACGATATACAAAAATAGATCATATAATGGTATGCAAATTGTATAAAATTTGTATGAAAGTAGTATGAATCCCTGATTGTATACAAATTCATTTTTTTAAAAAAATAAAAATCAAGATACTTTTGACAACTTAAAAATCAAAATAAACCGATAAATAACTTCTTAACTTAGTATATATACGAAAAAATTCTGTCTATAATACTACCCTTTTTGTTAGACTATTCTATAAATAATACTCCGTCTATTTAAATTTATGTGACGTAATTTAACTTTTGAAAATGGTTTAACAAAAAATAAGAACTTTTGAAACTTTTGGTCTTAAAGCTTAAAGGGTAAAGGCTTTATAGGGAGATATAATATATGCAGTTATAAAAGCTTCTTATTAAGAATAAATAGGTAAAATAAAAAGTTGAAAAGTTAAATCATTTCCTAATATAAATATGTCATTCTTTTTTATTAAGAAAGGTGTATTACGTTAATTGAAATAGAGTACTAATTATATTCTTTTTCTAAACCAACCCTTTCCACATCTAATATCAATACCATGAATTTATTAGGCTTTTCAGAGAGAAGGATTTTGCCCTTACAACAAACTTGTCGTAAATCCTTTATGCCTGTTGAAATATATCTAAAAGATTTGGAATGTGGTTGGCTTAAATGTTTTGAAAAATATTTTCCTTATGAACTTAGTTTCCTCCAATTGAAGGAAAATATTTTCCTTACCAAGAAAACCCCTGCCCCCCTCCCCCTCCCAATTTTTTTTTTTTTTATCTTCAATTTTAGTTTTTTCATCTTTCGGTCTACAAGTTCGAAATTTTACAAGTTCCAAAATTATGAATTTGAAGGTTTATGTGTTTGGAAGTTTACGGGTTAAGAAATTATAAAGTTTACGGGTTTCGAAAGTTTATAAAATTTGTGGGTTCGGAATGTTGTTGGTTCGAAAGTTTATGGATTCATGTTTGTTGTGTCTAAATTATTTATGAATACTCTTGAGAAGTTATCTTCCTTAATTTACGTACCAACACCGAAAAATGAATAAGATTACTATTTATTTTCCAAAAAAAAAAATTCTTGAAAAACATTTTCCGTTATACCAAACACACCCTTGGATTTTTCAGTAATTTTGAGGCCGACACTTGAAACATAGTGTATTATAATCTTAAATCCTACTGTGTCCATCAAAGCGGATCCTGAGCTATAACTTTTACTTTATCACAATGTTTCGTTTTTGGTTCAAATATTACGCATAAGTCTTTCTTCCTTTTCACAATGTTTGGTTAAATTGCACACTAATAAACAGAAAGGCTCATATAATAAGCATGAATTAATTAATTTCAAATATTTAAGAATTACAGTATTAGTTTGACTCCTCAAATATTAATAGTGTAACATAAAATAAAAGAAAGATAGTACAGTATTAGTTTTTCTAATAACGGGTACTTTTCCTACTTCCCAGATAATTAAGTTGTAAAAATATGAAACTGGCCAAAAAGATTCCGTTTGACTTTTGATGAGACAAGAAAAGAGTAATTCAACGTGAAAGTATGATTTCATCCATTTCATTAATATAATATTGATGGTAATTGACTGATAATTTAAAATTTGAATAGCTAAATGAATTTGAAATCCTAAAAGTTGTGAAAATTGTATAAACGTTGTGTCACAAAGTAGAAAGAGTATAACATAAATTGAAAATGAAAAAGTTGGACACAATGAGCATTTCCCCCCTAAATATTGCATACTGAACATTGATGGAGCAGAAAGAAAAGAGAAAGAGAACATTTATTTATTTATTTATTGTAGCGGACTGTGAATAAAAGAGAGTGAAGCCTAGCCTAAGCAGATATTTGCATTCAACTCTAGTACATCAATTGGCTAATGTAACAACTATCCAATATTCTCCCAAATGCATTCTCTGAATCCCTAAAAATGTGATTGCAGAGAATCAAACTTGCTGTAACCCTATAAACATTTACATCTTAGGCAAAAAAGAAAAAGAATGACAATAATATGTAATGTACAACTGCAAAACAATCTCTCTACTGGTAGATCAATCATCACAAAATGGTGCCCAACAACCAAATATGCAGGAACAAACAATAGGCAATAAGACCTAGCCTGCCCCTTGGATGACTCATCAAAGCTCGACTCGAAGATACCCTGAACATAATAGGAAACCAAGTGTTAGATTGACAAAACCGAGCAAGCACACCTGGAGGTAGAAAGTTAAGTACTCAATACTTCTAGTAGGCGTCAATCAAAAACAAGAACTGGACACAACTCCTTCCCTGCACCAACAACAACTACGCCTCAATCTCAAGCAAGTTTGGGTCCGCGATATGAATCCTCACTGACCATGTCTCTCCATTTAAGCTAATCTCAGACAAGTAGTATACGAAACAAAAAATAAACACAAAATTAAGTACTACAAGTTCTCTACATTTACTACTAGCATATAAATCTTTGACACAACCCCCTCCATACACCACTTAAAAAAATCATGCAAGTAACAAATGGTAGAGATTGTTAGAAAATCATGGTATGAGGCATGAGAACCTAGCAAGATAACATCACCATTTCTATTGTCGCAAGAATCAACAAGCAATGCGTGACCTGAATCTAATGTCTCTGAATTTTGATTGGCAAATGTTATTCCTAGACTTCAAGAAATGCAGAAAAAATTGAAATTTCATCCATAAAGTCAATGAGAAGCTAGCAAGAGTAGCTCTAAGATATTACCAAATTCCGTCAATTCTGTCGGCAATCATCTTCCCTTGCCCTGGAATAAGACCTGATGTATTGAGAGACTTGAATGCATGACCTGCACAACAGGAGAGAAATTTAAGTTTGTTACACATAAAATTCTTCTTCCAAAATTTTCAAAGTTCCATAACTATACCTTTTTCTTGGTCAGCTTCCTCGTCATTTATCAACCGTTCAGATTCAGTATCTATATTTATTGCAAGTTGATCCGTAGATCCCTTCCGCAAAGTTCGGACATGAGCAGCTGATGTAACTGAAGAGGCTAAATTCTTACTAACTGGCACCTGCAACGACACGAATGCAGCAGGTTAGACTGCTTTGCGCACCCACATTTTCTTCCCAGTTTATAGAAGAAATGTTAAGTCATACCACTCCACTTTATATTTGTTTTGCAAGAAACAAGCATATATCATTTTTGCAATAGCATAGCGATGCAGAGAGGTAATACAATTTACATAAGATCCTATCATCACCACAGCTACTTTGAAAGGAAAAGCAGATAATAAACACTTGAGAGCTCCTTGAGTAAACACCAACAGGAGAGAAGTTTGCAGTGGAAAACAAACGCAAGTGATTTAGGCAGCAAGGATATACCAATTTACCAAATATGTAGTCTGCTTTGATTTGTGGAAAGCAAACAAGTTTGAAGTTGGCTATATAACCTAAAATAAAATTCATGTAAGGTTCTTTATATTACGCCGATGTACAATAAGAAATAGAGTTTTAAATTTTTAATTAGAGAATTTGAAGTCCTACATAATAGTATTTTTTTATGATTCAAGTTGGAGACTTAATTAAGTAAATGAAAGTGTGCTCTATCTATAAGCTTAAGCTTTTAGATGAGATGCTATCACACTTCAACACGGTATCAGAGAACAGGCAGAGGTTCTGGTTTCTAGTCCCATCGCGACCCACTATCAGAAAGAATATCCACGTGCTTGGACCATCAAAAGAATCAGGCCCACGCGTGAGGTGCCATGTTGAAGACTAAATAAGTAAATAAAAGTGTGCTCTATCTAACACCTTAAGCTTAAGCTTTTAGATGAGATGTTTAGACACCTCAACACTTCTAAATTGCAAAAGTGAAGGCTCCAACTATATATGGTATCATTTCTGGAACAGCGGAATGCTCTTCACAAATCGCCAGGGATTAGCAAATCAAGGAACTGTAGGTTAGAAATATATGCATAATCAAGCCACAATTTCCACCTATGTAAGTCTTCATTCTTGTATTCCTGCTTTTAACCGTGATCAAGATCCAAATCAACAATAAGTTGAAAGGGGTGTTATTGAAGTTAGCTGATCTGATGAAGAAATCAATTTGTACAACTCAACACTGGCAGTCTCAAAGGCACGAAAACTAATATATTCAGAATGCAGAAGCAACAGATGGCACATATTTTCCCGCACTATCTTACACATACGAGATGTAGAAAATTTGGCCATGACCGTGCTAAGGAGCATTTTTGGTCAGAAGAAAATGGCACGTCAAGATATCTTGATGGTCAGAAGGCCAAATGCATTGATTGCAGTTCTGTTTATCCTTGTCTCAGGGATGCCACTAGGTTGTTTCATGGCGGCCTAAGTAGATATATAGTTTGCTTATTTAGTGTGATTTATCTTTTCTATGCATTTTCTAATTTATCTTGCATTATAATATATACCAGCAATATTTTACTATATCCTTCCATGCACATTTTTTCAACAGGCATCAATAAGCAGTAAAATAATGTACAAGTTGCAGATTCCATGAAAATCTTGTCTCTATCGAGAACTTAAAAGAACAAAGGAACTGAAGCGCAACTTAATTATAACATATTTGTCAAACTATTATTTTCTAATCAAATTGTCAAAAGACCTTTACTCTCGGCCTCTTTAGGTTTACTTGATCAGGATGTATAAGCTACATCCTTAGAGAAAAAATTAAGAAGGCAAGCCAACTAAAGGATGACACTGCTAAGGAATAGCACATGACCAGCAATGGTCGCGAAAAAGCAAGATAGGTATTGAAAGTAGGCAATGTGTGACTACTGAAAAAGGAATGCAATGTATTGCAATCAAACGTACCACATCTTGAACTTCAGATATCTCTGACTGAGCAGGCAAGGTAGCTGTTTCAAAGATGCCCCTTTCCTGGTTGATCTCAAGTTGTTTAACCTTAAGTTGATTAGAACTTTCTAGTGACTTAACCTTACTTGATAAGTCCTCAACAACCTTTTGGGTCCCATGCAAGTCGGCAAGCAGCTCTTCTGTTTTGGCTTTCAAATTTTCAGATTCCAAAACTTTGGCAACAATCAGCTTATCAAGCACTGGTAACAACCTTGTCACCGGAGTCTCTTTCTGGAGACCCACCAAATTATTGCTTCCCAGCTTCTGTATCATATTTTCCAGACCAATTGTGAGTTCTAACAACTCATTCTTCATCTTTCCATAGTCCTCCTCATCTCTAATGTGCTCTTCAACTTCTTCCTGCAAATGCTCAATTTGCAGCGCCTGTTTCTCAAGGCTTGACTGTAATTCTTTATTCTCACAAGACAGTGAGCTCATCTGGAGCTGCAATCTGGGGAAAGTATCAACTACATAAAAGAGCTTCCTGACATCAGGGGAATCATAGGCCTCTGCATCTCTCACATCAGGCCCCATGAGCGTTTCCATCCCATTTATTTTATCAAAAAGAGATTTCATATGAGATGCAGAGAGGGTTAAATCTTCAGCCTCTGAAAGAATAGTATAAAAGCAGGCCAAGAGAAGACAGTAAGCTACTATAGCCACGGCCAATATTTTCATAATTTAAGAAGAAAAAAAGTTATAACATAGTAAACAAAGTCTGTACCTTGAAATTTCAGTGAAGCTTTAGAATTAAGAGACAAAACTTCAGCTTCTTTCTCCCTGATATTATCCTCTTTTGCCTGATAATCCTCTAACTTAAGCTTCATCTCATTGCAATGATCATTTGACGCTTCTAGATTAGTCTCCAGTTGGGAGATCCTCTCTTGGTGAATCTCCTTTTCTTCCAAGACTTTCACACAAGTAGTATTGCTTTCTTCCAATTTAACCTGCAAATCTTTAATTGTACCAACCATCACATCCACCACAGTTTTGAACTGTTCAGCAAGATGTTGACTGTGTCTAGCCGCCAATAGCAGCTTCTCAGCGGTCTTTGCGGACTCACTGCTATCAAGCGCCAACTGATGATGCGCTACAGCATCTTCACCAAAATTTCCTAATTGTTCGGGTGAGGTTTCCTTCAACTTTTCCAGGCCAAAGTTGGAGCCAAGTTCAGATAATCTATTTTGAGTTAAAGCCAGTTCATTAGTTGCATCATTACAAGCAGAAAGTAGAACTTCAAGATCCCTTTCCAACAATTGTATAGTATTTTCCTGCGCTTGCCGACCAACTTCAGCATCTCTGACCTTTTGCTTAAGAGATTCTGCGAGTTCAATCATGGGTAGAGCTTTACTTTTTGTCAACTGTAGTTTTTTAAGTATTGTTCTGATCGAATCATCCATCAATTGCGAGTAACATCCAATGTTCTCAGCAAGAATCTTGTTTCTCAATTGGAATCCATCCACAGTTTTCCCGAGATGCAATGTGATGTCACCATCAATTGCATTTGCTTCACCATTGGCTACTTCCTCGATTAGACCATCATTAACAACAGATACTGAAGGAGTTGAGAAAGATGTGTCATCCTACATAAACAACATAGAAGATAGGTAAGAGAAGTTACATCTAGAATATGCAGACCACCTGATCATATTTCAAAGAGAAAAGCAAGAACAAGGGAAGAAAGAAGAGGAAGAAGAAGGTGCGATGATGATATCACATGATTACCTTCACAGGAGAATTTGGCAGCATTCCGGAATCTATTTCAGAAAAAGAATCCCAGATTTCTTTAAGAAGAAGATCCATGTCTTTTAGGCTCTCAAACTTTTTCTCAAAAGCTTGTCGGAGAGAGAAAAACAAAGCCTCGTCTTTCAGAAATAACTGAAGTCGGCTAAGAAGGGTAGAGAGCTCCAGAACATTAGTTTCTAAGCTGCCCTGTGATCCAGCCAACTCTTTCATGCAGGCATCTAATTTGGAAGTCAGAACTAAAAGTTCCTCTTCTGCATTCTTCTTTTCATTAACAAGATTGGAAATTTTGTTTTCTGAATTCAGTAAAGCATTTTCTAGTGATTTTATAGTCATGGAAGCATCACTTAGCTTGCTGTTTTGGAAATCAGCTTCGCCTTTGAGATTTTTTATCTCGTTCTCTAAATCAGCTCTACCAACTTGTACCCTGTTATTTTCCTCAGTAAGGAGAAAGATGTTTTTTTCTGCCTGAGCCAGTGCCTCTTCAAGGGATTGTATAGTTTCATCCGCCACCTTTAGTTTGTTGGTATGGAAAGTGAATTCCTCCTTGATTTTCTGCAGCTCAGATTCAGCAGCATCCTTACCAAGTAAAGCTTCTTCTTTCTCATTCTTTATTAGAAAAACATTCTTCTCAGCCAGGGACAAAGCATCCTCGATGAATTTTCTATCCGCGGACACATTTGCAAACTCCACAGTTTTAGAAGAAGCTTCTGCTATTGCTTTCTCTAATTCATTTTCAACTGATGCTTTAGCAGCTTCTAGCTCATTTTTGTCCTCCAGGAGTTGAGAGATGTTGTTGTCTGCAGCAGATAATGCATCCTCTAGAGATTTAATGGTTGTCTCGACCTCCAACAATTTGTTGGCTAAAGAACTGGCTTCATCTTTTACTCTCCCCAACTCCTGCTCCGCCTCTACCTTTGCAGTTTGGATCTCACTTAAGTATCCTGAAAGCCATTTGACCTTTTCTATGGGGTCTTGAAAACCCAAATCAGCTGGAAAAACAATACCATCAAGTGACTCGATAACCTTCTGAAGCATGTTATTGCTTTCAGCTAAGAACTGCTCTAGCTGATCCCTTTGATCCTTCATAGCAACAAGATCAGTCTCTAGTTGAGGGATACGGTCCACCTCAGCTGAGAGCTTATCAATCTGCAACTTGTGGTCATCAGATACAGATTCTTGCAGATGTAAATCTGATTTGAGCTTCTCTATTTCAGCACTCTTCTCATCCAATGCCCCTTTCAATTTTTCTCGTTCTTGAACAAGCCCCTTGCCTTTTTTAACTGCCATAGATAACTTTTCCCTAAGTAATGCAACTTTCTCCTCGTATTGTTCGAGATTCCTCTCCAGAGATTCCTTTTCTTCCTTTAAAGCGGAAAGCTCCTCAGTAACCTTGACCGAATGGTTTGACAATCTATTCAACTCTGCTTTATCTGACATCTCTTCTGTGAGTATTTGACCATGTAGCCTCAATTCCAGATCCCTAATGTACAAATTACTCTGGATCTGTTCAAAGGAGTCAACCTGATGCTTATGGGATTCAAGAGAGGCACTACTTTCTTCTTTTATATTCTCTACGCATTTCATAATGAGTAAAGTCATGTCAGATTGGCTTTGATATAACAATTCTTGGTCGTGTGTGTTGATTTTAGATGCCTCTAGCAGCATATTGATGATTTGATCCTTATCCATTGAAGCCTGTTGCTCTTTCTGGAAAAGCACTGCATATTTATGCTTTAAATCATCCAATTCCTCTTGAAGGTAGCTCCTATCCTGTGCTTCTACCACAAGAGAAGCAGTAAGATGACCAATCTCATTATTTGCTGCCTCATTTGCTGCTACCATCTGCTCATGTAACTTTATTACTTCTTCTTTAGCCAGATAAAATGATTCCAGGAGCCAAGAAACCTGTGCATCAGGTCTATTTGATTGTACGGACTGGGGAAAATCAAATGATGCCAGGGAATCTATCACTCTTTGGAGTTGCAGAGATGTCTCATTTGATGCATTCATCTCATCTGCAAGCCACTGGACTTTCTGAATGGTATCTGTTGACTGAAATTGCTCGTTTCCAATGGCCTTGGACAATATCTCTTCACATTTTTGAAGTATCATCTCCTTTTGAATGAGAGCTTCCTGCAGTGACGCAGCTAAATTTTCACTTCTTACCAGTAAATCCTTGGTTTGTTCAGCAGCCTCAAGACTATTCGACTTCTCTTGCAACTCAATTTGATATCTCTCTAGTTCACTAGTTTTCTCAGACAGTGACTTCTTCAGAGCATCACGCTGCTGAACTAAGGCCTTTCCTTTTGTCACAGCCAAGCTAAGCTTATCTTTCGTGTTAGCATACCTTGTTCTCTCCTGTTCAACTTCAGCATTCAGCTTTGTAATTTCAGCATTTGCATTCTCAACCATCAATTTATGCTTATTAAGTTCCTCGGACAGCTTTCCATTTTCATCACTTAAAAAGCTCAAATGTTGGTTTAGATTCACTTCTCTTGTTCTAAATTCAGCCAATACATCATGTGCAGCAACCAACACCCCCACTTCATCCTGCATGCTGTGGTCTGGTGCAACTTCAGTTAAACTCTGTCTAAGTTGGTTGACTTCAGAAAGGAAAACACTATACTTCTCAACTAAAAATGAGATCGTATTCTGGACATGATACATTTTTCCTGTAACTGATTCATCAGAGATTTCTTCTTGAGGAACTGCTGAAGCAAGAGATGCTAAGATCTCATTAGCAATCACTGTCATATGATGCTCTTTCTCAAGTTGAACCTCAGACAAGTAAGCAGAATTTTCTTGTTCTGAATTTAATTGAGAAAGAGCAACATCATGTGACATTGAAAGCTCAGAAACTTTTGAATTGAGGACATCAATTTCTTGATTCTTCATATGTATGATGTCATTAAGTTCTCTGATTCTGCTCTCAGTCTGAACACGCTCATCCAGAGCTTCTTTAAGAAACTTGGAGACATCTGTTACCACCTCATGCAATGAGGCACCAGAGGCCAAATCCCTGACTCCTGCTTTACTTTGGTGAAGATTCTCAACTAACTCACTATCATCTTTATTTAGCAGTGACCGACTACCAATCAGATCCTTAAGTTGATCATTTAGGCGAGTGAGTTCGCACATAGATGCTGCTCTTTCTTCCTGCGCATAAAGCCAGAGGTGAGAAAATAAAATATCCCTGAATATTGCAGTATTTTATGTAAAACTACCTCAATTAAAACAAACCTCAGCTTCTCGAGCAATCCGATCGTTTTCAGCAACACTATCATTTAGCATTTTGCGCAAGTGTTCTACTTCAGCTTTCAAATCTTGATCATGTGATCCATTGCTCAATCCTTCCAGTCGACTATCCTGTGCATCACTGTTCTCCTCTACATACCGCGGAGTTTCAGGACCTTCGATGACATCAGGGCAATCAACAAACATGTCCTCCCTTCCCCCATCTTCTGCCATTCTTATATCTTTTGTATCATTCTCTACATACTCTGCTGCAGTCACTGATCCCCCACCATTTAGATCCGTAACATCCACCTGCAAAGAGTTTGTCCAAGAAATAAGCTCTCCAGATATTTATTTACAGGACTAACACGAGCTATGAAGGTACTAAAACTTAATTGGAACAAACATGAAAATGATAGACAATAATCAAATGTTCCAAAACAGAAGAAACAAACAAGATTTTTATTAAGACCCAAATTCCAGGCAAGTAAATAGGACCCTAAAGTGTTATCATGCATGCCTTTACCTCAATATTTAGAAGTTGAATGATTTCACATTCTCCACTAAGTATTTTCTAACATATAGGAAGTAAACACATATAATTCATTTAAGAACCCATTTCCATCTAATATTGCAAATAATTTTCAGTAAAACGACCTGAGAAATTCATGAACAGCCACTACTGTGCTTCCTCCAATGAAACCACAAGCGTCAAAGCACTCACTCTTTACAACACCAAAACTAATGAAGTCCATGTAACAAGGTATAAAAAATTTAATAGCATGATAAGTTTTAGGAAGCTATATTCAGTACATGAAGAACTCCAGAAAGCAACAGTAAGGCCATGCACACATAAATGCACCGACACATAAAACATCATGATAAAAAAATTAAGATAGGCAAAGTAAGACCTGATTATGAGCAGCTGGTTCTACAGAAGCTGAAACTTCCCCTCCATCTACAACTACACCTGAACCATCTCTGACCTGCTCTGCATCATTATTTTCTGGCATTGCATGCCCCAAATCTCGCCAATACAGCTTCTATTTTCCCTTCAAGAAACAAAAGGGTCTCTGCAAAAGCAAAAAAGATTCAATCTTTATTGATACCCATATCAATATATTTCTAAAAAGGTGAAAAGGAGTGAAGAAGAATCAATCTTTTTTTGGTACCCACATCTATAATTTTTCAGAAAAGTGAAGAAGATTCAATATTTCCTGATACCAATTTAGATATTATTTTCAAATGTTTCAATTAGAGTTCAATAAAAAAGTGTGATGTCAGACAAGAAAATGATAAGAAAACCTAGAAAAATGGACTACAGATGGTTATAAAAACCATATGATGAATAATTACCTAATGAAGAAGGGGATTTTTGTTGGGTTTCTTGAGTTGTGTTTCGATATGATTAGAGTTGAAGTTGTTGAAGAAGACGATGGTGGTGTGTGGATCTTGGATTTTGGAGTTGTGCAAATCACGTGAAGATTGCAATTAGATTGCAATTTTGGTTGACTTAACGACGTCGTAAAGTGCCAGTTGTTATTACTGTTATGAGAGGATTGCCTCGGGCTTCCCAAACTAACGGACTTTGGAAGAAGGAAATTTAGAGAAAGGAGGGGAAAAGCATCTTAATGTGTACAAACAATGAAAAAACACATTTTATCTCAAATTAAAAGAATGAGATTAGCTCTATTTACAACTTGAAAAATGACGAGATTCCTAGGTTTGACTTTTGTGTAAACGGTCTCGTATAAGTATTTTGATGATTCCAATAGGTTCGTACGGTGATTTTGGACTTAGGCGCATGTTCGGATTTTGATTTGGAGGTTCCTAGGTTGATTTGACACTATTCGGCAAAAGCTGACAATTTGTAGGTTTGAAAAGTTTATAGGTTTGACTGAGAGTTGACTTCGATGTTATCATGTTCGTATTGTTGTTCCGTGAGTTGGAATATGTTCGTTATGTCATATGAAACTTCTATGGTTGGACTTGTATTCGAATTGATTGTCAGAATTTGTGGGTTTTGTCGGATTCCAAGATGGGGACCCGGGTTGACCTTTTGGTCGACTTTGAGTATTTGATTCGACCTTTATCATTTGGGTTTGATTCCTATGAAATTATATGATGTTATTGAGTTATTTTTTGCTAGATTCGAGCCATTCAAAGGTTGATTCGCGTAGTAAGGTATTTTTAGAGTATTGATTTGGCTTGTTTGAAGTAAGTGTCTTGCCTAGCTTTGGTTGAGGGAATTTTTCCTACAAATTGATATTATTTGCTACATAGGGGCTGGTGTATATATGATATCGTATATACATGTGCCATGGGTATTCATGCTCGAAGTAGATTCTAGCTTACTCTATGTTTTATCTGATTTTGTGTTATACTTGATTCTATATATTGTTCCATTAATTGACTACGTGAGCACAATAAACTATGCTAGAGAAATATTGAGGCTATTGGTACCTTGTGTTGAATACGATGGACAAACTTAGATAGTTATGCTAAGCTTGCCTCGGAGGTAGATACTCGTATGTTACGAACACACATTCGCACTTATTCTAGTGTTGAGCCTTCATTGGGACATGTGCACTCTGTGATAAATATGTGACCCTTTGTATGACTACTTAACCTTGGTTGTTATATCTGAGTTAGAGGAAGGTTTTCGGTTGATGGGGTGTCTATCCTACTTGTGATTCAGAGTTGAGAATGGGATCCTCATGTTTTTCAGAAGATAGCATGATAGAGGTGGTGTGTCGTGTGGGATTTAGATTTGCATGTACAAGGTTGCGATTCAGTTTTGAAAGGAAGGTCATGAGCTTTAGATAGCATAGACGATTTCAGATGTTTAAAAGAATGTCGGAACTATCGGGTATCACCTGAGAAAGGTATGCTTTCAGAAGATGCATTGTGGTTAAACTTGTGGATGATTGTCTAGTATTACGGTAATCGCCTGGTTGCTGACTGTTGTGTTACAATTTTGTTTCGTGGCGCGGAAGATTGATATAAGTATTTCCTGTGAGATTATTGTGTATGAGTGATGTGTCAGTTATTGAGTGGTGGAGTTAGTATCGAATATGGAGATTCCAGTATTCTCGAGTAGAGGCAGACTATTCCTTGGTTATGGATGGTTAAGATATGTTAAGAGTTAGACAGTTAATTGTGTGTGTTATGGATAGGTTACTATGAACTTTTGAAAGGTTATTTACCTATTTTAGGATAATGCGGATTGACTTGGAGCCCATTGGTAGGCCTAATGAGAATGTGTATTCTACATCGAATCAGGTTTATTTACTCAGCACAACAATTGTTGAGGGGTGTGTCATCGATGAGAGTTTTTCTTATTCATGTCCTGATATGTTCCATGTGTTACTCTCTTATTCTACAATGGGTTGTGAGGTTGTTGACTATTTACACACGTCATGAGGTCTTGCTTGGTCCTTGTGACGAAGTTTCAGTGAGGTGGTTCTTGGGATGTCGAGTTACTTATTGCACTTGGTTGTATTTTTCCTATTTGTGGTATATGGTGCTATCCATTTCTTCATGGTTATACTCATGCACTTCGCGTGTTTGTTGTTGATACACATGTGGTTGTCGGTTGTAAGCATTGTAATTCGATGGGCGTTCTATATGGATCGATAAGTTTGGAGTGAGTTGCGTGCCGCAGCGAGGTTATGTTAGGATGAGATTCTTCGTGGTTATTTCGTGTGTTTTTTTCTCCCCTATGAGATGGACCCATAGTATAGTACTGTTGGAGGTTGTACCTATTGGACTCGTTGGATAGTTCTCTCATTTGGTTCTTTTTCCATCTTCAACTATATTCGAGTTGTTACTTGTTGGGTATAGATTTCATCATATATGACTAGGTGGCATTTGGTGTAGCTTGTCGGTCGAATAGCTTGTACTGGAGGAGATGAGATCATTGGACCTGGGATTAGTGCAATCAGACTTGGATAAGTATGTATGGATAAGAATGTCATTAATCAGCTTAGAGTTTGGCATTGGTTTTTGTCGGGCGAGAGAACTCCATGACTTGTTGATTGGGTGAGTGGTTATGAGTTTCTGCATATTTATTACATCATTAGCAGTGTTGTGAAGTTTTGGAACAAGGTTTTATTTGGTATAAGATTTGTTTACCAGTATCCTATTTAGTGATGAACAACTATTGTAGTTAGAAGAATCTATGAGTATATGAGTTATGTGGTATATTGTGTGATTCTCACATGCTTTAATTAAAATTATCATTACATGTTCTAGTTTTCATCATCAAGTTACTCTTGTGTGCATTTACTTGTAGTAGTCGTTACGTGCCATTTCTTCTATTGTTGAGTTATTCTTATGCATTTAGACTTAGTCACTAGTTCATGCTACCTCTTCCATTGTTAAGCTCATGTCATGTACTTGGATTAGAAGTTGTCATTTCATGGAATACATTTATTGTTGAGTTATTGAAGTTGTAGTTGTGGAAGTTATTAACATATTATGATTGAAATTGTTAATTGTTGAGATATCTTTTCTTGTTGAGTTGTTTGTCATTCCTTTTAATATTATTGAGATATTTTGTACACATTGTGGTTGAGCATTGGGCTATATGTTGTGGTAACACCGGTATTCTTAATTTTGGCAATCTTGAGGCATATGGGCACATGTGGTGCGAGTTAATTATTGTGTTGTGATAATGATGCACATGTGGAAGTATAACGATAGGGGTTGATGTGCATGCGGCGAGATAAGGTGGGATTTATACGCGTGTTTCTAGTAAGGAATTACTTGAAGCCACGTGGTAAGATAAGGGGACTAAAGCGCGTGTAACTATTTCGAAAAAAATATTTTTAAAATATAAATGCAAGGCTCACGAGGAGATATAAGGAAGATTGTGATTGTGACTTGTGAAATATGGATATGAGGTATGGTACCTCGGCATGATTCTTGTTGTACAGTCTGTGTTGGAAAGGCTTGATGTTTTGAACGATTGTTGTTCTTATACCCTTACTTCTTTTCATTTGTGTTTTGATTGTAATTTGTTACTTGTTGTCTTACCACATGTACTCTCTTGTTGTCATTTGTTGCTTCATTTCCGTTGTTAGCCTTGTATTGGTAAACTGCTTTGTTGTCCTTTCATCATCTTCATCTTCCATTTCTAGATTATATTATATTCTGTTGAGGCTTCTTTTATCTAGTAGGTTTTTTTGACTTGGCCTCGTCACTACTCTACTGAGGTTGGGTTTGATACTTACTAGGTACCGTTGTGGTGTACTCATGCTATATTTCTGCATTTTTTTTTTGTAGATCCAGGTACATCCGTTTGAGCCGGGCGCCAGTGATTTGATCAATTACTTCAGAGAATTCAAGGTATATACTGCTCAATGCTCGTAGGCCTCGGAGCCCCCTTCTGCTTCTGGTTGTACTAGTGTTTATTTTCAGTTTGAAACAATATTGTATTTAGAGATATTAGTATACTGTATTTGTAAAATAATTCTGGAGAATATAAAATAACGTATAAAAATAAATGAAAATAGAAATAGAATTTAATCCGATCCCACTGAATTCACAGTGTTTCCTTAAGGAATTTAATCCTCTTCTAGTACTCATGGTTGTAGATTATTTTCTCCCAGGATAGAACGAATTACACACTGGTGTAGCGGTACTTCAAACCCTAGTGTTTCGGCGAACACAAAGATCAGTAGCAAATTACACTTACTGTTGCTTAGTAGTTAAAACAATGCAGAAGAAAGGAGGAGAACTCAGAAATTCGTATGGAAAATTTGAGAGATTGATCTGATATATATAGCCAATATGTTGAGACTCTTCAGAAGGGCTATCATGACCGTTTAAGCAAAATGGCCATAACGTAAATGACTATTTACGCAACAATAAAACAAAAATTCAAACCTTATTCTTCCGTTACAAAAATAGAAAACGGACGGGAAGGGAACTTAATTTTTCGTTACAAAAAAATGGAAAACAGACGTTGAGGAAACAGATAATTTGGATTTAATATTAATTTTTCGTTTACCAAAACCGGATATTTAATAATATTACGTTAATATTTCCTATTAATAAATAAATTTGGTCCAAAAAATTAATCAATCAGTCGATCATTTGACCAAATCCGAAGCCGAAGTCGAAGCCGAGTCGAGCGAGCGACGACGACGACGACGCGAGGCTTGCCTTCTTCTCAACTCTTTAAGAGCTACAAAAAGAGAAATTGTATATATACACATCAAAAACCTTTTCCTCTTCCAATATGGGACAATGTCCCATTGTCAATGGGGGAAACTTAAATTTCATTTAAAATTTTTATTTTCCCTCCATTTCCCATTCACCCTATTTTAAGCTTATTTTAGCTTAAACACCTCAACAATCCCCCACATGAATGGTGATCGCATGCCACCGAAATATGCATGAAAAAATGTGTGATTCACAAGCAAGGATTAATTGCATCTGGATAAGTAGGTTTCCCTTCGAACTTTTCGTAGTGAACTTATGTCGGATATGCTCGGTCAATCGGTAGATTTGATATCTTTGAACCGTCAAACTTTGG